TACCGCGAATGCATCATCATAGCTCTCATCGCTTTCAAATTCTCCTGTTGCTGGATCGACATCACGGACTTGAAATTTCAAAGTGGCGCCAAATAATCCAGTTGCATGAAAATCGTCCGGTGTTCTAAGCAGAATGTATGTGGTCGATTGCACCCCAAAAGGCAACTTTTCCAACGGCAGCGTAAGCACTACATCCCATCCCACTGTGTCAGGCGTTGGCTCCAATTCGACGTGCACATTTTCCAGCAACTGGTCATTCAGTGTATTTTTGCAATCAAACTGAAAAACATCTCTCACTAACAATGAAAAAATCAAAAAAGATATTTTTTCGAAAGGCTCGACAAACTGGAATTTCCCTTCCACTCGTCATAATAGACAAACTCGCACAGATGAGAACTCGTTAAGGTAAACTATCGTCGAGTTCACCTCAACCACAGAGTTATGGCTTACAGTAGTATTTTTTGCACCAGAATTTCTCCTTTAGATACTACCCGTAATGTTAGGTGAAGACTTTCGGAAACGGCCCGAAGGAGAAAGCTCTGCCATCAGCAATCACCTTAAGAAGAGTGTCGACAGCTTACTCATTCGCAGCAAGCTACTGGCAGTACCGACTTCCTGATTTGTGTCAGTACCAACTGCCTATTTTTTATCAGAATGAATAAGCAAATCGGCAGGAGACTGGTTCCCTCAGTGGCGAATTCGTCCCAACAGTTTCTGAGCCCTGCACACCATTATTCACCATTCATATCATATTCTATACATTTGAAGTTTTAATTTCAATTTCTTTTTCAGTTTCGAAAGACAAAGAAATTGCTGCCTATAAGCAAATAATTTAACCAAAAAAAAAGAAAAAACCGAAACATCGAAATTAATCTACAGTATTTCGAAAAAAAACTTTACCTGCATAACAACATGTTGTGGGAAGATATGTTTGACGCATGATACACTGTATTCAGTAATCTCATCAGTTAGTGCCACCGGTTGTGATGATCGGAATAGTGGGCCCAAGTTCGTGAACGCCGGGATAGCCGCTAGCTGTTCTGCAAAAGGCAAACGCTGGGGAAGAACTAGTGCAGGAACAATCAACATTACAGTATTAAAATCACGAAAATATAATACTTTACTGATGTTTCATAATGGAAATGTGAAAATCTGCATTACGAAACAACGGTTACAAATAAGCCAAACTGAATAAAAACAATTTTAATGAACTAACTTTGTGGCCTATCCTAGTTGTTAATATACTTGTCATGGTCTACAAATAACATTGCTTGAGAT